TACCTAGCTAAGCTTGAAAAGATAATCGTCAGAGACTACTTTCCCGATCTTCCCAAACTGAAGGTTTGATCTAATTGCAGGTTGTCTGCCTTCTAGTAGTGTGAGTCACATGTCTTTTGCATTTTTCAGGCTCAGACAGAATACATGGATGCTATGAAGCGCAACGATATAGCTAAAATGCGTGAACTGCAGTTACGCTATCACACAAGTCGTCGGACAGATCGAAGGTATCGTTTTCACATGCATTTCTGCTCTTTGCACAAGTAGATGCACTCCTTCAGAACGAGCCCAGCGACCACAGCTGCTACATCTCCTGGACACCAAGCTCGAGCTCCAACATCTCCTGTGAATTTCGATCCGGACACTCCTGGTCCTAGTCGGCCAGCTGATTCTCTTCAAGCTACACCGCTTCCCTATGCAAACCGTGAGGGTGATAATGAGGTACTGTATTTCATTAAAGCTTTTGTTTGTATTAATATCGGCGATGTTCGGCGACGGGGGGGGGGGCATTTTGTACCTTCACTGCTTTACTAGTTCCGGTTCACAAGTTCCGCTCTGGTGAAACCTGTGAACTCTTGTGAAGCTGGAGCAAGCTCGTCTAGCCACCATGGTAAAACCCGTCAACTCTTGTCTTGCTCATGAAAGAGCTCTCTAGATGGTTCGGAGTGCAAAATGCCCCCCCCCGTCGCCGAACTGCGCCATTAATATCTACTGTGCCCTCCATATCCCGGGGGGACGGGCAAGAGAATCGTAAATTGCCACTTCGCCGCGCGCGGCAATGGGCGCGACGTTTCCTTAATTTGCATTGCCCTCTCGATGAGAGCATCGGGCTTCATGTAGACAAGGACATGGTAGACACTTATGTCTAGTTTTGGTCATACATTGTCTATTCTCGACCAATATCACCTAAAATCGTCGTCATTAGCGGGGCGCGACGTCGCACGCGACACCCACTTTCGCGGCGAATTACGATTCTCTTGCCACATACCCATATCCCGGAGATGAAGGGGGCGTGGCTGTGTGCCATTGGAATGTGCGGGGCGCTGTGCTTCTGGTGGGATATTTTCGTTCTGGAACATTTGTAATCATGTCTTTGCCCGCTGCGAGACAGGATTCCAGTTGTCGCAAATGGAAAGATCTCATTGGAAAGGCATCCTGCGGCATGTTCGCATGAAGTACAGAGCGACGCCCTTCAATGTCCGGGATATGAGGCATATTTCTTCCTGCATGGAATAAAAGCTTGGAAAAAACTTGTTTTAAGGCGCTAAAGGAAGATGCGAAGAAGGAAAAGGCTAAAACAGATGAGCTGTCGGTGGATGCGTACATGAACAAGTTCACGTCAGAGGATAATGCTTCCTTCGAGGAATTGGCAGCTGTCGAAATAGCAAGAGAACGTGCAAAAAAGGGCTGGATCGAAGAGGCAGAACGCAAGCATAACGCGAAAATGGTACGTCCGTTTGAGCTGTTTGATGTAACAATTGCTAAACAGAAAGGAATATATGAACTGGTATTTCTTTCCATAAACCTCAATATTTCATTGTATCACTGTACAGTTCGAGGATCTTTTTACCTTGAAGTTGTCTAGTTGTGATAACTGCTGTTGAACGACGCAGCTCGCCTCCGAAAATTGCAAGAATGCTGATTTGTGAGCAAAAGTCTTGGCACTCACACTGGCCCTGAAAGCGTGAGGCGCGAGTTCGAATCTGGCCTGAGGCCAAGACTTTACCCATAGCTCAGCATTCTTGTGATCCTTTTACTATTTTTTCAAGTTTATGCTATCTTTTGCTCGTTCAACTTTCCCTTATTTACCTCTTCTTTGGGGCGAAACTGGCCTCAGGTGGCCAAGTGATACGAGCTTACACGAGTTCGGAGTTACAGCCTCGAATCGGTTGCCGCAGGCGGAGCCCAGACTTTTCAACCTCTCCGATGCGGGTTAAATTGGTTAACAGATCTCTCTGGAGCACTGACTTGTACATCAGCTGGCCCCTGCAAGCCATTGTATAGGCACTGTCACATTTAATGAGCCACTGCGATTCTGAGTGGAAGTAGAATAGTCAGTAATGCGTCTCCGGCATCTCACAAGGATTTGACTCTCGGGCAAAACTATCCAGCCCTGCTTTCCTCTCCGATTTTCTGGCTTTCGAACGTAATTTTGAATCCTCGAAAGTGTAACGATGGGTTCTGTCCAGAAAGGAGAGTCGACTGTGTTATACCTAGCAGCTTTGTGGCCACATACCGTTGCGTAGTAGTGGACGGTGAGAAACCCTTGAAAAGCAATAGGTGTAATTCTTTGCTATATGGCAGACTTTGTAGCCTATGTTGGGACTATTTTATTTTCGGAAAGCATAGGATTGCATGATGTTACTGTCCACTCTCTTTAGGTCACATATGGTGAACTACCGGCGTCTGCTGATCTACAGCTGGCGATAAAATATGACCCGGAATTTGACAGAGGTAGGTTAATTTCATGCAGAACCATGTATTTCTTCCACCTTACATTTGAACGTTGTTTTTTTTCAGCAAAGCCCAAGGAAGTTGACAATTGGACCTACACTGCCCGTAACACGGTGTTATTCCATTTGGAAGGAGCTCCTTTAACAGCGGCTGAACGCATCGAACAAGCTCGCAAAAACCAGCGAGTTATTAACAAGTCAGGAACTCGATTTCCTGAGGACGTCAAGAACAAGCCTTCAGAGGTAAGTTACTCTCTAACATATGCGGACTCCTAATGCTAGCTAGGGGCTGCTTCATGAAAGACTAAATAGATTATGGACGGAAGGGCGCTAGAATGGGATGGGGCATATGAAAAACTCCGTGTGCAAAACTACAAAACTGGGATTCCCGTCATAGGGGTGGCAGTTTTTGAGTGAACCCAGAAAAACGAACTCACGGAGGGGAAGGGAGGTGAACAAACTTGAGGAATTATAGGTCCACTCACGCTGGTTTTACTTTAGAAGTCATTTGAGCACCTACCCCTCTAGCTGATTTGCCGAGGGAATAAAGACTGAGTCAATGGTGTCTTTTAAAAATTAGTTATTTCGATTATTTAGGCATCAATGGCCCGTGCTAGTATGATGCAGTTGGCCAATAATGCAGGAAAAGTAGACGCCCAAGGTCATGAAGTCGGACTGAATAGCAAAACTTTAGGATTGGTAGCGACACCAAGCCCTGCTCCTGGTCCGTTTTATTGAATTACTGTACTTGTTATTCAGTATATCTGATTTCTTTGACAACTTTCTATGACTTCATTGATTTCAGGTATTGATGACTCACCTTTGATGACCTGGGGAGAAATCGATGGAACACCTTTTCGTCTGGATGCTTCTGATATGCAAGCACCACTCGGAAGTGGACCAACGTTCAAGGTAGCGTTGTCTGATAATAGGGTTGGGTAAAGAATGACGTGAAAAATAGTACTGAGGGAACAAAGAGGGATGGGATTCCATGACATGATATGTAGACTCGAAGGAGGAAGAGTATAAAATGATTTTTGGCGTTGTAATTTTTATTTCTGGTACTAACTCAGAGTCTAGATGGGCAAGACACAGCTAAAACTTTTAGCGTCAGATATTCCAAAAAATATAGTTA